CTCACCTAGTAGTCCGTCGGTCCTCCTCCAGAGGACCCTGTTCCGATGTCCTGTCGGAACCCATAGAATTCATGTCGGACTACATTCTGAAATTAGGGGCACGTACTCGGGTAAGGGGCGCAGCGTATGAGCTGAAGCCGAGCCCCTCAGACTCCACTTTACCCCTGAGCATGGTCTTAACAACCCCTAAGACTCGGAGGTGGACAAGAGATCAGACTCAAGTCCAGAGAAGCAGGAATGAGCAGAACTAAGATGATATTCAAACTGAGGAGTTTCAGAGTATTTACAAGGGTTTATATACTATAGGTATCATGTAAGTAAATCAGTCAGCAAAGTAGAAGCTATGTATGAAGCATGTGGAAAGTCTATTAGTAAGTGCATAACGGATCAAAGCAGTAAAGTCGGAGATGAAGTACAAACGGACAGATCAGTAAGCAAAGTGAAAAGGACATAACCGGTAGCTGGAGCAATAATTGTTCTAAAAGGAGATAGTTGAGAGTGTGGAGATGAAGGCGAAGCACTGGGCGGACAACAGGACGGAGAATCCAGACTTTAGTAGGGGAGATCTGGAATTCCGGATCTGGAGGTACAGGATATGACAACGACCCGTACTCTTGGCTTTTTGATGCCAACCCTCTCAGCCAACCACCCTCATCATTGGTACCTCAGCCTCAAACACCCACACTCCCTGCATTTCCATCAATGTCAATGTCATGCCCCCCCCCCCCCCCCCCCTTGCCTTTGCCTGATACTCCAATCACATTGTGGAGGAAGGAGTCTGAGCTTTGGGATACAACAAGGAACTCAACCCTGACAACATCTCCAAGTCTCACTGTGTCTTTGACCACAATGCCAATGTTTCAACTTCGACAGCTGTTCTTTTTCCACTCCTAGTATCACATCCAGCATCAATCCATGGGAAATCCCAGTTCCTCACCCCATAGCAACCAACCAACTGTCTGACGAAGTCATCCATCTCACTGCTACTGTAGCCCAGCTCATGGTTTTTACTGGTGCTGACCTCATTGCTATGGATGCACCTACCACAGCAGCACCTACTACCCTCTCGCGTTTACCCCATTGCTATGGTCCAGGGGACTGGTATAGAACTCGCCACCATGGACTCAACTACTGCAGACGCACCTGCTGCACAAATTGAGGTGCAAGCCGAAGAGGACGAGCCTGTGGCCACAGACCAGGGTGTTGTGAGGAATAGCAAGGGCGGTGAGAATGGTGTCGAGCAGAGGCATCCGCGAATGGCATCCATCCAACCTTCCACTAACTCATCTCCCTCAGTCAATATCCCTCTTTGAAAGACAGGTCAGGTTTGCCAGGAGTCCACACACATGGTGCAAGCAAACCTGATTGGTGAGAGCGCAAAGAGACTTAGAACAGGTGAGACAGAGAATGCCATTCAAAAGAAGTATGTGCTCTTCCTGTCACCATTGGATAGCGCTAATTTTGTGACAGGAAGCGCAAATCTGGCGCCTGAGTTGCCTGCCCATTAAGATCCTGCTTCATTATACCAGTCTATACCATACTGCCTGTATTATAATACCCCTTGGGGTACCATTGACTCGTTAATACATACACATTGACTTCTTGCTCTCTGCAAATGAAAGTAAAGTATATTCACGGTGTTGGATTTAATGAAAATTTTGTGCACACAGCACTTGTAATTTCGTTGTAAATCATATGCAGAGTACTGTATACACACTTGTACATACTAATAGATGGGACTTAGTGAAATTTCAAGGTGGTGAATCTCGCTCAATTCATTGTTGAAGCCTCATTCTATCAGAGATCTGAAACGTCATGGGAGAGCATGAAGCTTCAGTGCCGAGATGTAAAGAAGCGGGGAAGGGGTGTACCTGCCCAAAAAGGTGGGAGAGTGTGAAGCTTCAGTGCAGAGACGCAAAGAAGCGGGGAAACAGCACACCTACCCAAAAAGGGTTAGAGCCTGGACAGCTGCCATTTATTTCGAGTTTGTTTCTCAGTTTGTTTCTGTATGTGGTGTGGCAATGTGTGACTTGCAGTGACAATCAGTGATGCGTTCATGACATGTCCATGAGATTGGCTTGCGGCAGCGCTGTCATCACAATCGACTGCAACTAACAACAAGGTCCAATTCACAACCTTCGTGCTCCAAACTGTGACCCGCAGCTGTTTGCTGCATTACCTGGTGCTGGCCCTGTTGCAGCCCCACACATGAATGCATGACCTCTGGCAAGCCACAACTTCTCAGTACTCATCCCTGCAACAAGTAGCATCCTCCATACCTGCTTGCCACAACCTTCTGCAGCCTCCCAACAGTCTCAGCACTATTTCCTGCTACCCTTCTCTCTCTCTCTCTCTCTCTCTCTCTCTCACTGTGGCCCACCACCATGTGCCATTCCCGAGGCTCATTGCATGGCCCTCCTGCCCTCACTGACATTTCTTACACACTGTTCATTATTGGCCATCAGATACTATCTATTTTGTTCACTGTAATAAATACATGCTGAATGATTTTAGTCCATGAGAATGTACAAATTTTTTTATTGAAATGGTAGAATACTTGAGCTCGCTGTTGCCTACAGCGAGCACGAAGGTTTTGACACCGTGTGGCGTGAGGTCGTGCAATGTATCCAATTTGGTTTGTAACGCTGGACGGTGGCTTGTCACATTTATTTGTGCATGTTGTGGTAAATGAAATAAACGGCAGCTGTCCAGGCCCTTAAAACACATCAGCAAAACTCCCCAAATGTCACAACACGTGACATACCCTGATTAGGGATTATCAAAATGTTCGAGTATTATGACGCATGTATGCGTGCGTCATATCAACATTATACATTATAAACACCTCACCACCCTCACATGATCCTTAGCGCAGCTGAGACACAGTGGTAGCGACATTATATTGTAGTTATAATGTTGTAGTACTTATATATGCGCCTCGCTACAATTTTAAATGTATATATGTGCCTCCCAATAATGAGCTCTACTAAGTAAGATTTATATGATGGATCGATAGCAGATCAGAATAAACATGATATGAAATTATAAAGCGCCGTAGCCTTCCGCTATCAGAAAATGATCATCTAAGTCTTCTCCCTCATCCGCTTCTATCATATCGGGATCATCTTCCAGTTCCTCCTCCTCTTCCAGTTCCTCTTCCTCTTCATCATCTCCGTCCTCCTCAATCTCTCCCTCTCCCTCAGCATCTCCCTCCCCACCTTCATTCTCCTGTTCTTCAGCCTCTTCATTCACATACGCGCCATCACTTTGCAGGAACTCATCCCATTCGCGGGATATAGCGTGACCGATACCTCCCCCTCGGTATCACATGAACATATCTCGATCTACGAACCTAGAAATAGACCAGTGAATTGATTAGAAGTAGATAGGTACAAAAAACTCACATGTTTACATAGAAATACCGCCAATCTTGATTAAGATCTGCCTCATGTCGAGCAAATGAATTAGGAAGAAACTCATCGGTCTTGCCTGAATCAAATGCTGGGATGAGATGGACACCTCGAATTATGACGTCAGGATCCAGAAAACCGAGGGCACTGGGATCCTCGCCTCTGAGAAAACTGATGCGATGCAATCGTTTTGCGGACCAACCGGATTGGTAACCCGCGTCGCGTCCAAACCACCGCACAATCAAAAATTCATTTGGCATGGTTCTTCCATAGAAGCGTCATTTTGGTCCCAAACGTCCACATGGAAGATCCGGATGATTCGTGCATACCAATACGGGTGCCGTGCATCATTGGTTTCGTGTGACAGGACCATAACGTCGGCACGGGTACGTGGGTTAAGTGAATCTTGTTCCCACCGTAAGTCGTATGTAGTGTAGTTAATCCGGAGGACGCTGTGCTCGTAGACCTTGTTGTTGGCGATGATGATCTGGGCACGTTCTTCATCAGTAAATTCATGCTCATCTCCAGTGTACTCGATCCCGCGAATACGTCCGAGAAGATGATCTTTGAGTTTTGGAATAAAGTCCTGTCCCTCCCATTAGATGAAATAACTCTAAAAGGTAAAAAAAAAAGACATACCACTACTGCTAGATCATCTTCTGGTAGTTCACTAAGCCATCCTGTGAGATCAAACGAAGTTGTCGCGTATTTGGAAATGTGGTAGTGATCGGATGGAGACGTGCGTTGCCGTTGGCGGCGCTGTGATCCGGCATCACCTTCTCTTGATGCTAATGCAGCTCGCGCCTTGACGATCTTACCCATGAGTCGATCCCGGGTTTCTATCCTTGTCATACTAGAGACAGTATTCTTCTTCCCTTTGGGGGTTTTCGAATACCACCGCTTCACTCGCCGATGCTGAAGTTCACCCTAGTTGATTTAAAATAGTACGATCAGTATGTATTTACACGTGAATTAAAATAGAAATTTACTGGCTGCATGCTGAAGCTATCAGTAGTACCAAATTGTCGGATCGTATCGGGGTAATCTCCCAGCACGTGATATTTGTAAGTACTGAGATTAAGCTTCTTGCGCTTCGGACCCGATGGAACTTCCTTGGCCTTGCATTTCGGGTCTGCTTCTGGAAGCTTGGAAGCTAAGGCAGCTTCCCGTCGTCCGCGTGTTGCATACTCATGAGGTAGTTCAGTTGTATGGTAGCGCTTACATGTAGTTCGCGCAAATTTTCGTACCGTCTGGCCCAGAACAGCCGTCGCAGTGTCAAAAAATTTCAGTGTGTCCTCAGTATGTACTACGTAAAGAAAAGAGCTGAAGCACCGGAGGACCATGATTTTTTCATTTCTTGTCCTGTACTATATCATCTGATGTACTATATCATTTGTAAATCTTGCTCAATTGTAAATTCATCCGCATGCTCGTGTTCCCATCCCACCATGATCAAAAGTTAGTTAGTCTCAATGTACTGATACAATGTCATCTACGCATGTATTTTATTCAGGGGGTGTTGATATGTTATTAATAAATCTAACAAACAAACATTAACAACGCATCCTTATCTTTATCTCTCCCACCACTATGGTGCATCACAATTGCGCCAATTCTACCTCATCGTCTTCCTCTTCTGAGTCGTCTGCGGGATCTTCTGCTAGATCGGAAGTGAGTACCCACCTGAGCACACCGCCACCCCGGATATCCGGGAAACGTGGAAGAGACGTGTTAGATGCGTCTGATAAGAATGGACGCAAGTCTAAAAAGGCCAGGTGAGTCATTCAGAGATATTGGTTGTCCCAAACAGAGCTTATCTATAGGATGCATAGCCCAGTTAGAGCCGAAAAGAAGGCCGAAAAAACACAACGGTGAGGTTTTTCATTGAATTTTACGTGATCTCATATTGATCTTGATGAGATTATAGGAGATCACGCACTAAAGTCCTTACGCCGCGGGAGCAGTGCATCCACGTTGCACGTTGGATCCCACGCAGACTTGATATGTTCTGCGATCTCAAGCAGACGATCCAGGTAAGTCTACTTTTGGAGCAAGAAGAAGAAGCCGAGGCCGAGGACGGAGATGAAGCGGAAGAAGAACACATCAAGGCTGCCCGCAGTAAGATCCTGGACGCCTGGTATGTACAATTGACTGCATATATGCGCACTCTGACCGCATATATGCACACACTAACTACTTATATCTATGCTAACATAATTTTCAGTGACGATATCACTCGTGCACAGTACAAGCGGACGTTCGAATACGTCATGGAACACGCCCCTTATCTTGGGACTCTGATTGGAAGGAGAAAAAAACGCGAGGAGCTCGCGCAACTCATTGGCAAGGTGCATATGTTTTTTTTACATCAATTGCAACTAACTATATATTTACAGATGCAAAATATGATTAACCATACGCGCTCTGAGGACGCAAGTCGTCTCAAGTCTCGCATGGGCTCATACGCCGCTCCAAACCCGGACAAAGAGCTTATCTGTCCGCCCATCACTGACGACAGCAAGAGCCGCGCTCTAATGGGTTTTAATCACGCCCAGCTGGGCAAATTACTTTGTCCGGTTAAGTATCTGGTCGACTACATCGAGGATCCACATGGGTATGTTTTTTTTCTTAAGGTTATCTGTACTAACAAGTTATTTCTACAGGATGAAGAACAAGTTCGATAGCGCGTCCTTAAAGGTGACCGCTGCCTTATGGCCCGCCTTTCTCTATCCAGGCAACACTGCGGGCGAAGATTTTGACCCGGAAGACATTATTGAAGGGCTTTTTCGCGGATATCTTTTGGAGCGGGTAGGTTTTTCATTATTATATTGGGCTACTCTAATACATACAGGTTATCAAACATATCTTCACCTCTCCGTCATCTGCGCTCAAGGCTGGCGTCTCTAGTGGAACTCGCGCTTGCAATGCAAAGCTCCATGGGATGAAAGAAGTTGGGGCCGAGCATATCGCGTATGCCGCGGTTCAGGTAAGTTTTTTTTTCGCAGACTTAATTTACTCAGTCTATATTTTACAGGCTCGCTTTGCTATTAGCTCGCTTGAAAAATGGAAAGACCACGATGGTCTTTTCTATTACACTAACTTCTATACTAGGATTGTAAATCTTATTCGAGGGAGGAAGGACGAGGGGTGGGTCAACTCCCTGCTAGGACATTATAACGAGTAAGTGATTTTTCGTGTTGTGTATTTGTTCTAATTGTTCATTGATATAGGAAACTGTTCGGCAATGAAAATGGCGCCAAGCCTTGTCATTCTCCGAACATAGAGTGTTCCGAGGACGACGATATGATTGCAATGGAACGGCAACTCGCCGCACGTGCTTCCAGATCCTCAGACAAATCATCTGCACCATCTTCGGCACTCGATAATCAACAAGAGTCACATGGCAAGTCCGTCCCTCCCCCTGATAGTTTGCCTCCATATCCTCCGTTAGCCACCTCGTCTCCTCAAGAGTCAGCGTGCTTCCCTACCCCCGATCCTCAAGAGCCGGTGCGCTTCCCTACCCCCAATCCTCCTGTCGACTCGCGCAAGGCGCAAGAAGTCTTACCTGCACGCCCCCCTACTCCCAATCCTCCTGATAACTCACACAAGCGCAAGCAAGTCTCCGCATCAGCCCTTTTCGATGATAACAGCCCTCTTACTGAAGAAGATGAAGAGATCACTCGACCTACTAAGCGCAAACGAAAGAATGCTGCTGTTCCACCGAAGAAGACTCCGAAACGCAAGGCAAAGAAATAGTTATTCAAGGTGAGTCACAACTGTCTCGTAGTCTGTTCAATACTTATAACCTTCACTCGATCGTATTAGGATTCACTCTACCACATCATTTTTACCGTCTCCATTCGCATTTGCATCACCCGGCTCTTCTGCCCATGTACTACTCTCACGAACTCTACAGTACTCTTCTGCTCTCGTGCTCTCATGGACCCGCATGTCTCATTTTTTCGTTGCAGTCTTCAATGACATCACTCATATGCTTTCTTCGCTATATCGTGTCCAGGCGATCGGTACGCAGTTACCACTATTACATTAGATTATATTCTACCATACCACATGTATCAGTATAGCTCAATGATAGGTGGTTATTATGGGATATGAATTTGATCGGATGTTATAACTACATATAAGACGATGCAATCATACAACACTCTGGAACATGGCGGTGAGTATATCACGCGCTCTAGAACGTGGCTGTGACCATATCACAAAAAATCGATTCGGTATATTTGTATGTATTGTACGCTCTATGATAGATACTTGTCACAGTCGTTACAGTGTGTCACAGGGGCTACACGTGTATATATATCTATATATACCTTGGGGAGTTTTGCTGATGCAAGCGTCGTGGGAAAGCGTGAAGCTTCAGCGCAGAGACACAAAGGCTTGATGCTTCATGAAGCATCAAGCTACAGACGTCGAGGAACCACACACATTGTGCATCAAGGTGTGTGTCTTATCACATACCTTGATGCTTAAATATGACACTATAGCCTGCCTTTGAGTACTTGTCACATCATGACGTTCACAGTTCTCCCCGAGTTTGCGGTGATTACCATGCATTTTGGCTCAACTGTTTTCGCCTAAAGTAGGGCATCTCATCGTTCACACTGGATGTTTCAGCCCATAAAACATCTACCTGCTACTATGGCTTTGCCTCATTCCCTTCCACAAATTTCATTATGTTCACTTCCTTCGCCATCATGTTTGCGCTGCTCAGTTTCCTCGCTGGCGCCAATGCATGTATAGAGTGCCCAGCCAGAGTGAAGGTCGACGGTAGTACCTCGCACCTACATGAGACCTTCCCAACCGACCAGTTCACATATTGCAGGTGCGTCGCACCCACACATATTCGCTGAACAAAGTAACTAATATGCTGGCAGTTACGACAATGTCCACTTGATCGGCGACGACTCATCAGTGGGTTGTGCGTATGATAACGTAAGTACTTCTGGATATCGTGCAGCTCATTGTTCTCGGTGACATGCTAGTATTTATCAGGAGACCGGAAAGCTTTCACTGGGGTATCAGTCTTGTCCGGCTACAGCAACAGTGAAGAATAACTGCTGAACGTGATCTGAAGAGGTGGGGGAGACGAGACACCCAACAGGAGGAGCGATGTTCGTCTGCAGACAGCCGGGTGTATGCTAGTACTTAGATCACCATCTTTTACGAGAATTGCCAAATAGTCTGGTCTTGCCTCGGCCAGTTGCATCATCCCAACCTCCTATTATAATAACCCCCCCGGGTGATGATACTTACAATCATCCCGCAAATCAACCTATCGATGTCATAGTAAATAAGGCTGTTTTTGATACTCCTCCTTCACAATACCTTATACCTCTCCCTTTCACAGCGCAGAATTAACGATGAATCCGAGAATCTTACGACTGGGCTCGGGTTGTCACTTCACTCGATAGCTCTCCTTCGTCAGCTAAACGTGAAGCTGTGCACTCGATCCAATTTTTCCGTCCCTCCTACACGGGCAGGGAAGGTCATAGTCCAAGGCTCAAACGCGAATGTCAGTCAGATCGACGGACGGAGTTTACGAACCGCATCAACACGGCGAGTCTGATAGGCCGAGGATCCAGGAGTGCGAGACTTACTGTAGGGAAGTGAGTCGAATTCCCCGATTGACGATGTTTGGCTAAAGTCGAGTTAGCCAAGGCCGCGTTACTTAATACACAGCGCGCCGTGGCGATCAAGACAGCATTGAGACCATTCCCTCTAGATAAGAGGTGGTATACTATGTGACGATGAGATGGTGAGAGATAGAAATAAAACAAGCAAGAGACGCTCGATGGTTCACCTCAAATTGCGAAGGAATCAATTAAATTAGTCTGTGTGTGCCCACCACCGGAAAACTGGGAGGGGAAAAGGGTGAGTACAGCGAGGAAAGGAGATGTTCGAAGACAAGTGCGAAGGACTGAAAGGAGAGAGCACGGCATAAAGGGAGCACGTACGGTGAGTTCGAGAGCACGTCACTAGTGGGAACTGAGGGGAGCAGAGTGTGCTCACGGGAAGCATGTATTGAGCCAGTGACTTGCATAGACTTACTATACGCTGTCATGTATATACTTACAATATTGATGCTATCTTTCAATAGAGTGTTCTGGTTGACCATAAGTTCCAACGGAATGGCGCTTTTCGGTGTTTGCGGAATATAAGTCATGGACATCTCCTTGCGCGTACTTATTTTCATTCAGCACGCAACACGTGCGGCACCAGCCGTCGTGTACGCCAGTTCGTGCGTGCGGTGCCGAGTGTTGCACGTAGGAGGAGCTCGATTCACTGCAGGATTACGCCAACACGGACACGTTGAGGTAAGCTTGACGCTAAACCTTATTCCACGTTTAGTAATGATGTTTGGTGTACAACATCTTGTTTCGCCTTCAAGCTTCAGGTCGTTCACTGGCCCATTGTACACGTCCATCATGGTTCAACGTTGAGGACTTTGGCCCGGCTTCCACATTCCGAAAGCCTGAGTCGTCTGAAGCCAGGCCAAAGCCACAGATTTCAAGCCGGCACATCACTAGATGCGTGAGGGTTCATTTCAATTCAATTGAGCCAGACTACTGCGGTATTTCATTCCGGGCAGTGTGGGTGTCAGTAGAATCACTGCCTTCCTTCTTGCAACGTCTGACCAACCCTCCCGGCCTCTGATATGTCATCCATCCTACGCTGAGGACTTAGGTAACCACACCCAAGCGATAACCATTCTTCAGCCTGATCTCCTTGCCGCCCCACACCCTCGGCAGAAAGACCCTGCACGTCCGCGATCTACATGGCATTATTTTGGAATACCAAACATTATGCAGGAGTTTCGGCATCTATGGGGCGGCCGTGATGAGCTTCGTCTATTCAAGGATGGTCAGTATCACGGAGAGTGTTGTTTGGGAAGTCACAACATCCGATGAACGCGCACATATCTGACGAGCAACGTGAAGCCGAGGCCGCGCAGGAACCGGAGATTCATTCGTGCCCTACGACCCCATCGTACCGCACATCAACTTCCCATGAGGTTCACATGTATTCTCGAGTCTACCATGCATTTGGCTCAACTGTTTTCGCCTAAGCTAGGTAGGACATCCGAGCAACGCTTTTACGTTCACGCTGGAAGTTTCAGCTTATAAAGCACCTACCTGCTAGTATGACTTTGGCTTATTCCCTTGCGCAAACTCCATCATGTTTACTTCCCGATCCATCATCTTTGCGCTACTCAGCTTCCTCGCTGGCGCCAATGCATGTGTACAGTGCCCAGTCACAGTGACGGTCGAACAATCGTGCCATACAACTAACCAATACCAGGCCAGGCGATGTCACAACGTGCTTGTGCGTCGCACCCACACATCTTCATTGAACAAAGTAACTGATAGGCCGGCAGGTATAATCACGTGGACAGCGGCGGCTCAGAATTGACCTGTCAGTATGACGCAGTAAGTGCTTTCTGGATATTGTGTAGCTCATTGTTCTCGGTTGACATGTTAGCGATGGCATCAGAAAAGCGGCACACTTTTACATGGGGATCAGTCTTGTCCGCTTACAGGAATTATGCACCGCTAAACATGATGTGAAGAGGTGAGGGAGACAAGACACCCAACAGAAGGAGTAATGTTCGTCTGCAGACAGCCGGGTGTACGCTAGTACTTAAACACCATCTGTTGCGAGAATTGCCAAATAGTCTTGTCTTACCTCGGCCAGTTGCACCAGCACAATATCGCCTATCGGAATGATTCCCGGTGATGATAAGCACTTTCTAGAATCATCCCGTAAATAAGTCTACTCACCAGAATCCCGACTGGTGCTCTGCCGTGTCTGGGCCCATGCTGTGTCTGATACCCCCTGTCACTCCCACATCTCCTCACTTGGATAATCTCTTTGGCAGCGCGATTCTTGCCAATACTTATTTGCGCCAGATCATGTAGAAAAGAACGCTGTCCTTCAAGCACTTAGGAGTGGATCATTCGACAGCTCTCTCTTTACGTTCACACTAGACACATACAACAGATAACACGTATTGCTCACCGTGCGGCGCGTCATTTCCTTTTTCGCGCTGTAGTCCACAACTCGTTGCCCAGGCAAAGCAGTGCCCCAGCTGCGTATTGACACATTAGAAAGCATCCACCGACCTTTCATGCGCGCAGATTTTTTTCAATGGACAATAGTCAAACACGCAGGCCACCCGGACATCCCCCGTATGAATGTGAGGATGTTCAATTAAGCATGTCGATCGTTGATTGTTGATATTCAGCTTCCTTCCTAGGTGAAGAGTGGTGCAAGTTATTTTTAAAACACGTTGAACTAACGCGATGCGTTGGATCTGAATTTAGAACGGGAGTGCATACTTTACCCCTGACTCGTCTAATTTTCTTCGTCTGCTCATCTGTCATCTTCCTCAGTTGCTGCCGCCAGCCATTGGCATCGAGAAGTGTATACCCGACGATCTGATTGACAACACGAACACGTCAGACAGGAGATTGCATGCTTATTGATAACAACAAAAATATAATACCCAACCACTACTAGACCCGGTCGAACTTGGCGAGGACGGAATCTAGGGATAGAGCAGGGGATTTTAAGCTTGAGGAGGAAGGAGAGGCAGTCGTGGATGTTTCCACTATCGGTACTGTGAAGTATATTATACAGTGTATTTTTGTGGGCGTCGGCGTCTTATCTAGACGACATACGCTTGGTCGTATGCTCTGTGAACCATCCTCAACATCAGCTTGGTGGAAGAAATCAAGTCTAAACGGAGAAACACATCGCATCGTGCCTGATATAGTGTTTATAGCCAAAGAATGGTCTCCGCCAAGGGTGACGGGGAATTGCTCCCTCTCAGCATGAGCTCGCACGGCGACTCTCGCAACGAAAATGTGGTTTTTTTCAGCTTCCCAATGGATACGTTTAACATGTCTACATCGGGATCATTCAGTGCATATGTGGCCGAACTGACAATGGGTATCGCAAGAGGGGAGATTCTTAGTTGAAGCCTTGAAGCTGATCTCAAAGTAGCTTACTACTAGCTGCTGACTAATTTTACTACTGTGCAGACATCTTTCTTACGCACCGACATCCTGCCTGTATTAGTGAATGAGCATATTCGATGTAGGCCATTTATGATGATTTTGTTGGTAGTTTAATTCTAAACCTACAGGCCGCCCAAAGGTACAACTAAGAAGAAGGCAGCGAACGATGGTTCCACAACGCATACGCCTGTTCGTGCCATTCCCACTAGTCACTCAATTCGGTCACTCAATACAGAATGATTAGACTCTCTCCGAGCAGCTGTCTTACCTGCAAAGCCCTCGTCCATTCAAGAACCCAAACTACACCAAAAATGCAAATCGTCGAACTAAGAACTTGAAGACCGTTCTCGGTCAGGAACGGGAGAGAGAACGTGTCGAAAGGGAGAGGCGGAGACAAGAGAGAGATAGTCAGGCGATGGATATTGATGGCGAAGTTAAGATAGAGCTTGTTGAGGCGGATGAGGAAATTCCAACTTGTGAGCTGATCATAGATTCCGACGCAGCCGACGGAACTGACTCTTCTAGACTTATCGATTGAAGCACCCCCGTCTGTTCTGCCACAGAGACACTATTGCGATATTACAGGGCTAGAGGTCGGTACCCACCCGTTCTGCGGGAAAGGATCTTCTGTTGATGTTAAATCTAGGCACCGTATACCGATCCTCGGACTGGACTGAGGTACCATGACAAGAGCGTTTATGAACTTATTAAGAACCTCGTAAGAAATTGCTGGCATCTCCTATTCACACTTGATTCGAATTGTCCCGCAGAGCCCAAGCGCGGCGAAGGACTATTTGGCTGCAAGGGGTGTGAATCCTATCGTCCGATAGCCTGTTGTTTTCCATTGAAATGGATTCGTCATCATTCCCATTGTGGCACCAACTGCTATCACTGGTGGTAGCTAATTGCATAGTGCTTGGGTGTAATTTGCTTGAGCTTACACACTGGTGTAACACTGCAGCTGTAGGCGATATATGATTGGACATGTGACAAACATAGGATTTTCGATATGAAAGCCTTTGGTAAGTGATTCTCTGCGTATTATTTATAATGAGACATCGGTGAGAGATCTGCAGGATCGTTCGTTTGCCGTTTCGTAAAGTGCGTCACTGACTCCGTTCCGTTACAACCACCTGACCGACCACATCACATCCGCGCAGCACCCTCAATGCAAGGCTGGATGGCCGAGTGGTCTAAGGCGCTAGAATCAGGATCTAGTCCGAAAGGGCGCGTGTTCGAATCACGCTTCAGTCATATTTTTTTTCTCTGCCTTCGTTGTTTTTGCCTCTTGCTCGATTTGCCTTTTTCCATTTCCACCTCCCAGTCCCAACAAGTCCGCCAGTGTGTGTGCTCATAAGATGAGATAAGTGGAGAGGTGGAAATGTTGCGCCTGAGGATGATGTAGAAGATAGTATGTAACCTGATTGCGATAATCCAGGCCCTGGCGATGCTTCCCTTATCAAAGTGATGTGACAGAATTGATACCGTGAGCCAAGTGTGTGCTTTAGCCCGGTTCGGCACTTCATCATGCATGTCAGGACGTTTGTGTGAATTTACTCCCTGAGCCCGCACTGCCATCTCAGTGATAAGAGCCTGAAATGCGATATGTATATAAACCACCATAAATGAGGTAAGGTCTAGCTTCTTTCGTAACCGTTTGCTCATATGTCGACTGTTCTTCCCCAAGGCGCAGGCTATGGCGTCGGTGAGTTGGTTTCTGTTTCTTATATCTCAACTTGAACACTGATCTCCAATAATCTTGTCAGTCGTCGGTAAGGTGGTACTTTGTAATTTCTTCTGCCATTTGCTGAAGACGTCCAGGAATCGGATTGTTCTTCAGTGCTTTCATGTTGGGTTTGACTGTCATACAAGCACGCTACACAGGTGTCTCTCCCAAAGATTCCGAAGAGTTTTCGTCTGCTTCACGCTCGGTGAAGCCTGGGCTCATTGCCTCTGGTATCGTCTCTGCTTGGACGTGGGCAGCAACACTGGTGTGTCCATATTCAACATCCATGTCCACACGTGTCTTAGTGGGGAATATCACTTAGCTCCAATCTAGTGCAGTCGGCTACAGATATGGTATCTCGGGTCCATGGTGGTATGCAGCAGGTGCGACCGTACAGGTCCTCTTGTTCGCTCAACTTGCTGCGAAGCTAAAGCTCAATGCTCCCTATGCACACACTTGGCTTGAGATTGTTGGAGCACGGTGGGGAACTGCAGCACATCTTGTTTTCATGGTTTTCGGTCTTGCAACAAACCTGATCGTGTCTTCGATGCTTGTCTTGGGTGGTTCGGCTACTGTGACGAGTTTGACTGGGATGAGCACGATTGCTGCGTGTTTCCTTATCCCACTTGGTGTGGCCATTTACGTTGTCGTTGGTGGAATGCGTTCCACATTGCTTTGCGATTAGTAGGTGGAAGTCGCTTTAACTATGGCATGTTCCCTGACCCATGCTCTTGTTCCCAGCACACATACAACCGTCCTCTTCGCCATCATCTTGACGTTTGCGTTCACCGTATACGCAACCTCGGGTTCCATTGGCTCCATCAGACACATGCACTATCTACTGTCCGAGGTATCCCAGATCTCGCCCGTAGCAGGTAATGCTGGGGGCTCGTACCTCACTCTCCGCTCCAAAAACGGTCTCATCTTCGGTGTTATCAACCTCATTGGCAACTTCGCGACTGTCTTTCAGGACCAGGCATACTGGCAGCGCGCCATTGCCAGCAGACCTTCCACCACTGTCAAGGCGTACCTCATCGGCGGCTTGGCATGGTAAGTTGACATGCCAGCATGTACCAGCATTTCTGATCCATGCGCAGGTTTGCTATTCCGTTTGCATTCTCGACGACGCTCGGCCTTGCTGCAGTAGCTCTGTCTGCGGTGCCCGCTGCCAACTCCTCGTCGCAAGATCCACTATCAAGCAATTTCATCCCCCTACTTGCGCCGCTCTCGCAGGCTGCAATCTCAGAAGGTCTTCCAGCTTCGGTAGCTGCCGCAACTTTGCTCGGGCAATCAGGTGCAGCTGCGCTTCTCATTGTCCTCTTCCTGGCTGTGACTAGTGCCACGAGTGCGGAGCTTATCGCAGTCTCTTCCATTTTGACTTACGATGTCTATGTAGTAAGTCCCTATTCAGCGTTCAGCACCAAAATCACTTACCGCTGTTAATAGAGGTATATCAATCCAAAGGCAACAGAACAACAGATTCTGCGCATGAGTCATGCTGGGGTATACATTTTTTCCTGCAGACAAATATAACTTTCTTATCAATTGTCGTGAGTAGGTTGTCATTTTTGCCCTTGTCATGGGTATCGCCGGTGTCGTTTTCTACTACATTGGAGTGTCCATGGGTTGGCTCTACGTCGGTACTTTTATCTGTACTATGAACCGTGCCTGACATGGTTTGCAGACGTTCATGGGAGTCATCCTCGGCTCTGCTGTCTGCCCAATCGCCCTTTGCATTACCTGGAAAAAAGCTAGCAAAGTAGGATGCGTTGGCGGTTCGCTCGTTGGTTTTGCCGCAGGTATTATTGCCTGGCTTGTGACTACCTCTGCACTTAACCAAAAAGTCATTAATGTCACTGTACGTGTCTTACTTTCCCATCGTTTCGCTTTTGACCTCATTGTGTGACCAGACGAGCGGAGGTTAGAAGAACGCCGACTTCAATACTGATGTGCAGCTGAATTGACCCATTAATAGGTAACTACGAAATGCTGGCAGGAAATCTTGCATCAATCGGTGTCGGTGCCATCATCTCAACTGCCGCTTCACTGATTGTGCGTGGATTGGTTCATGAATCCCTTGAAATCACGAGCTGATTAATCATGCAGTGGCCAGAGGACTACGATTTTGCTTCGACTCGTGCAATCAATAACCGCAGTGCCGCCGCCGCTAGTAAAAAGGTCAGCGACGAATCAGACGAGGCAGAGGACGAGAAGAAAGTGGGAGACATATCAGTGTCATCCGTGATGAATGAAGCAGAAGTCGACCCCGAGCTAGATCCAGTTGGCCTAAATAAGGCATTCAAGTTCGCTGCTAGGGCGTCGATAGTACTTGTTCGTGCTTTCATGTTTCATTGTAACTACTCAGTTACTCAGGCCATTCTTTCTACAGACTTTGGTGCTGATGATACTCATCCCTCTCCCCCTCTTTTTCGCCCAGACGATCTATGGCGTTACCGGCTTTTCGGTATGGGTTATAGTTGGTATTGCCTGGACATTCCTGTCGGCTTTCGCAGTTGTGATATACCCCCTGTGGGAGAGCAGAGCTGCGATTCGGCTTATTTCGAGAGGAATGATCATGGTAAGCATGATATTTTTCTTTGAGAACTCATCTGATGGCATGCAGGATATATTCTCTCCTGGGAGTGGTAAATTTGTTCCACGGTCTGGGGAGTCTGGCGCATGAAGTTTCTGTGATAGCTTTTTTTGGAGGTCCCCTGTATTTGTTCTCCAGCCTGCGCACGATATAGATAGATACAGAAACTTGAAATATACCTGCATATCTCTGTGCCCCACGACAATATCGTAACGGGACAGAATACTCTACCGGCCCTAGTCAGACCCAATAGAAGGAAGATAATCACTGTTTCGCTGTTGTACATGCTAGATGGTAACACTATGACAGCAACAACATGGCAACTTTGCTTATTTGCCGATCCACTGACAACACTACATTTGTTAACCCTACCCACAGTGTTGATGTATTTGCATGTACAAGGATATGAGACGATTTTATGTACAGTGATGATACAATACTACCAGTACAAAGCATGTTAAATGGGCAGTCGCTGCGCGAGAGCCAGCCTAGAGCCTAGAACCACAAATATAAAAGCAAAGAAGATAGCATGATACGCGCGTTATGGATCCAGGGTAAAAGTTTCAGTTCTATGGTAAGCCATAGATGACGTAGCATTCTAATATACATATCGTTGCAGTTAGAAACGTGCAGTGCAGGAAATATTTGAGCTCACCTAGAGAATCGATGCACCGGGTGTGGGCTCTACAAGGGGCATTTGGGAAGCAGCTTGATGATTTGGTCCCGCTTGACCGCATGACCATCCTGCCCAGAATAACGCGACGAGCCAAAGTGCCAGTGCAACGCACCGACCATGCAGTTCTGCAGCCCTTCAATGTACATAGCCACCTGCCTGTCCAGATCTTCTCCCCACGTGGGGAGAATAGGCACGGTGATCATCAAAGCGCTGGATGGCACCTTGCGCATAGACCGTTGGCGTAGTCAACAGCACTTTGGCAGGTCCAGGCCGCGTGCATGCATGAGCACGGTAATTACATTATGTGTGTCGTGACCAGTTGATTGCTCCTTGTTGTATGAGACTATATCCTGTCGACGGTAAGGTTCAGCAGTGGCCCAGTATTCGATGACGGAATGGGGCATTACATTGGTGAAGCAAATATAATCGTTGGCTGCCTCCTCCATAGCCACGATAACCGAGTGCGATGTTACTTCGTCAGGGAGATCAATCTGAAGTGCGTATTCGATAAGGGCAAAGCAAGGCTTGCAGGTGCTCGTGTCTCGTCCTCATGGTGATGTAAGACTTAGGATCACGGGTACTACATTCATTGGCGTGGTCGTCCACCTGCTTAGCCACAGCAATGAAGAACATGTCCATTGTGTGGATAAAGCGCTTGGTGCAGCCAGGGCCACCAGTTTCCCTAAAGCGGCTGAAGTACCTAAGCATCGTATACAGACTGTTAGAAGATCGTATGCGATACAATAAATGGACATACGATTTGCACATATTCGCACCAAGCTCTTCCGTGGAGAAGTTGATGGGATCGCGGTATGCAGACATACAGCCTTCACGCGCTGTCGACGGCTCAATGATCCCAAATTCCATCCAATCGTCGATAGTAAACAAGAAGTTAAGGAAGTCGGTGATGACTCGGAGATGGAAAGCATCTGCATCAGGATAGCAAGCTGCAGCAAGTGTACCTGCGTCGATTCGCATAAATTCGGCGATGTGGGGCTCTACAAGACGCGCTCCGTCAAGAAGCCACCGTTCAGAAGCGCGAGAGACTTGATCACAGTGGGGATTCTCTCGCAGGGGATAGGGGCAATCATCAAGGAGGTTGGGTAAAGTGAATTCTGAGGGCTCGCAGTCAAGGCGAGTGGTCGTATAGGGTGCAGTAGGAGTCGTAGAGGTCAGCGAAGTCATATGGCGAACGTCGAGATGAACGATATGTAGAATAATGAGAGACGAGTTAAAAGAGACATTGCTCTGAACTTGTCAGTCTTTATAATGGGCCGGCGTCGCTCGGATCCGTGTTTCGGAATGGGACACGGCAGAAGAAAAACGCGAGTACTTATCTATCATGACGGCAGTGGTAGCGAACACCAAAATCTATCAGGGGCTATGATGAGAATTCGCCAGGTTAAGCCTAGTATCAAGAAATGCAACTTGAAGCGAGATTACTTACTTAGTACTTGGATCGATCTAACTCCTCAAATTTCTTCGAAGTTCTAGAATTGTTCTAGATGACCGACCGAGTATATTCATCTCGCTCAGATGAAGTTCGGAACCATACCGCTACTTCCCAGTACGTCGTTTATGACTCTGGGGAAGGCTGTACTTATCGTATAGAAGTATCCGCCTATTCGCCTGCCTGTGAGTTTCATGTACCCTGTTATCGGCGCTGAGTGGGCTCATGAGAACTCGGAGGCGAACATGAAGGACAAATTGAAATAAATTGATGTCCCGAATATTTCCAAATGGTGGGGAAGCGCGCCTTCAAGCGCTGGGGGGAACCAGAGCGGCGTACAAGACGGAGGAAAACAGTTTCGTGCAGTGTAGGCGTATACATGAAGTGGAGAATCGGAGTAGGAGTACGGAGGGTTTCTGGGTCCCGAGAAAGCGAAAGCGCCTGCTCGAGGCTGTAGAAGGGGTCGGAGTGTCGAGTCGAAGGCCGAACATGTAGCTTGAGTGGCGCATACCGAGGAAAAATAATTGAACGAATTAACGGGCCCACAATCCAGCCCACCGAACGAGCACGATGAAGGCGACGGTGCTTTGCGGGGTGTACACTGTAGATGTTGGAGTGGGGAACCCCTAGGCGAGGGGCCCGGGAGTAGTAGCCGGGTAGCACCGTAGCTTAGTCAGCCACTCAGTGTCCTTCGGCCTTTGTCGTAGCGTAGTGCTCTTCATCACTTTGCCTTGCTCGGGATACGCAGGCACACAGTCGCGGATACACCGCTCCAGTGTCATAGACTGTGCGACAGCGTGAGCTAGGGTGAGACGCGCGTAGCATCTTTCGTTGAGATTAGTTTGGGCAGTTTCCGAGGTCTTTTGTCAGATATCCGTAGAGTCAATGCTGAGGTGTAGGTCCATGATGTTTGGACCGTGTTGGCGCGCACAGTTTGAACTTTGAACTTTACAGAAACTGAGCTTGATAAGACGGAACGACGGTCTTCCTTCGTTCAAGGTCTGACTACAAGAACAGAGAAGAAGGAACGACTGTCTTCCTTCTATATGGTCTGGCTAGGGGAGACTAAGAACAGAGTAAAATCTGAGCATATCGGAACGGCGCTCGGCCGCGCCAGTCCTCGACTCCTGCTCGAACCAAACATTCCTTGCAAGACTAAAATGCTATGATCTAGCATCTTACTGCTGGTCCGTACGATCTATGCATCAATTGAAATCAGCGCTTGCCCATAGAACTGTACACAATTTCCCGCGGTTCAGCGTACAGGTGCCTGCCAGCCAACTGCCAGCTGGACGGTTGCGTCTGACAAAACCCTCTTCCACTAAAACGGGCGTCGGGGATCAATCGATCACACTTCAGATCTTCAGACTCCAGAGACAGAGAACGACGATCGTCCTAACCATAACATCCACTAGCAGCATTGCCGTGAAGATGTCCAAAATGCGCGCCGTGTTAATCAAAGGTGGGCAAGGTCCTGTTGAGAACCTCTACATTGGGGAGACAGATAAGCCAATCCCAACGAAGGGACAGGTTTTGGTAAAGGTCTGTGGCTCTCTTCATCTTATCGAAACATGTAAATCGATCGAGCCTGACATGGAATTCTCGTGGTCACGTAGATTGTCGCATTTGGCCTCAATCGCACGGACCTTGCACAGCGTCAGGGCAAATTTCCTGTACCCCCTGGTGTATCCTCCATTCTTGGTTTGGAATTCTCTGGACGTGTGACTGAGCTCGGCGAAGGAGTAACGCGATGGGCTGTTGGTGATGAAGTCTTTGGTCTTGCGAGTGGCGTTAGTCAATTGGTCAAGTCAAAGTGTATGTATGTTCTGTACTGATTCAAACCATCACGTTTATCGAAGGGAGCATATGCGGAGTTCATAAATTGCGACGAAGGACTCTTGTTGAAGAAGCCCAATCACTTATCTTGGGTGGATGCAGCCAGCATACCAGAAAACTACATTACAGGTGAGTACAGCAGACCATCCAAGTAAGCGGTCGTCTTCGGCTCTGACTGCTTTGGAACTATTCTTAGCCTATCAAACTCTTGTGAAGTACGGGGAAGTCAAGAAGGGCGATCATGTACTCGTCCATGCAGGCGCTTCTGGTGTAGGCATAGCAGCTATCCAAACGGCAAGGGAATCAGGAAGCGTGAGTATTCCTATCTTTAGTGTCCCGGTCTTCAGTGCGTTCAGTGCGTTCTTGCTGAATACGTATCACATGGCGCTCACAGGGCAACCATTACTGCGACGGCGTCTACCACAGAAAAACTCGATTGGCTCCGGTCCATCCCTAACGGGGCGACACATACTGTCAATTACAGAACCGAAGACTTCGCCGCGGAGGTCGGGAAAACGACCAACGGAAGAGGTATCGATATTGTCATAGATGTGGTTGGACAAAGTCATTGGGCAAAAAACATACAATCCCTCGCCATTGATGGTCGAATGATAATGTTGGCTGCTTTGAGTGGTGGGAATTTGTTTTGCCTTGAAGTTTAAAAACTCGTCACTGAAACGTTTGGTAGGGAAAGAGGTCCCCTCAGTCAACCTTGGCGAGATACTTTACAAAGCGTCTTCGCATTCAGGGCTCTACGTTACGTTCGCGTAGTTTACAGTACCAGATCTATGGTGAGTTATAACGAGTGGGAGCTTGACCGCACGCTAATAAAACAAGTATAATCTCAGTCTCTTGAAAGAAGCTCGGTATAACGAGCTATGTACCTAATAAAACAAGTATACTAATGACTCGTCAGTTTAGTTTTCTAATCGATATAACGATACTAATAACTCACATCTCAGTCTCTTGAAAGAAGCTGAGATGCGTTCGTGCTACTGCTGGCGTTTATATAGTAAGTTGTATAGAAACGGAATATATCAGAACGGAAAAGGAAAACATATTGTAGGACACGAGCCGACGTCAGTGCGTCGCTCGTCAAAGTCCCTTTTGGCTTGGGCTCGGACTTATCACTCTTTCTCTTCTACATCTCGGATCGTTCGGTTTTCTTCGTCACTGATCCCTCGGATCGTTCGGACTCTAACAAGATCGAGCTCATCACAAGGTGCTGTCAGAACATCACCCGACATCATTTCCCCCCAGGCTAACTCATCACAAGCCTAGGATTCCGCAATTTTATCGATAAGGTAACTGGCGCCAACGGAGGTGGCCCGATACGGACTTATATTCACAAAGTGGGTATATTCTCCTACTCTTCTCATCTCGTCGGACAATGACATACCACTTCACAGGTGTATCCTTGGACAGAGATCCAGAGCGCTCATCGTGAGATGGCTGACAATAAGAATATGTGAGCATTATGTCTTCGTAGAAAGAAGCAGTGACCGAGACTTCATTATCAGCGGGAAGATCGTCGTCGAAATTCAGTCAGTAAGAACGTGAACATTGACAGTGTGTCAGCCGAAATTAGAATCCATCAAGAATTCCCCAACTCTTCCGTAGATTAAACCGCGTACTTTTTGTGCCCCTCCTGGCCATCTAATATAGGTTTTCGTATAACTTGCCAACTGAAGGTACAAGCTCATGGACAGTTGCTAACTTACGAAGGCCGGTCGACAGGTACAAAGGGTATTTCCAGCGTACATTGAGACGATCTACCTTGCTCGTCCCTCACACAAAGTACGAAAGCATCTACTAGCAACTCTAGGAAAATTTCCCGTACATGAAAATACTATCCCAAACTTATCGTCGGCGCTGCTCCTGTGATATGGCGGCCAAGAGCCACGGAAAATCTAATTTTTTTGAGATGCAGGTTGACCCGGTGCCACGCCCTCTTGAGGTCGCTGACTTACTCGACACATGGGAGCATGGAGAAAATGATGCGAGCGACAGCATCAGCATCCGCTACGGGCGAGGCGCCCACTTGGAATGTTTGTAGAGAGGTATGTTGAAATGACTCGGCTGTAGGATCGATATCGATATTCCCAGCATCGACCAATGCTTTCAGGGTTGCAAGTGGGGACATAAACGGAGCCTGTGAATAGTGCGCGGAATGTGACAGTAGGTGTATGAAGATCCGCGTGACCCATGATTTGTAGACGGCGAATGTGCGGCCAACTTGACATAGCTTCCACAAAAAGGTCGTTGTCCAGGTACATGGAGTGATGGACACAGACTCCTGCAGGATTCGTAGCTGCGTGAAACAAAGAAACTGTCTAATTGTTGTAAAACAGTTGTACGACTGTGTATCATCCTTTGACATCGTGGTGGGGCCAATTTCAACGTGTTCAAGGGTCTGGCATGCTCTACACTGAGAGTGCATGAAAAGCTGCTCGGTCTCTGCCCAAGCCAAAACGGGGACATGCATTTCGAACTTTTTTAGTGAGGGGAATTCTGAGTGTCGTATCACTGTAATAACGTCCGCGGCAATTTTTACGTTGAAAGAAAGAGTCATGAGATTATGTAATAAGCAAATATTTGAGTTTGGACATCGGGTGCAACGTGGTAAGCGAATCAAAAGCAAATACATATCTGAGAGTTCAAATCAAAGCAGCTCGGTCACGACTTTAGGTGTCCTACCCGTGGGTACCTGCGGATACCCAAGTTATGCGGGTCCCCGTGCCCGTACCCGTGCGGGTGAGCCACTCGCAGGTACCCGTGACCCATACCACGCTTCACCCGCGGGTGCTACCCGGGAAAGCCTCACCCGTGTCATACCCTAGTTTAACGTTCTGCTCTGTTCACGCGTACTTTGCGATGGCTTCAGGCTGCCCAGATGGCTCTGGTCGGCCCTTCCCTGGACACTGGCAGGCGACGCGTCTGAGACTGCAACCGAAGCTCTCCAGCATTGGTCACTTACAAGAAGAAGGATCCATCCAAAGGTCAGCATTGGCTTGTTCAGGTCATAACATCTTCAACACGACGTAACACTGCAAGGCTACATATAAAGTACCATCTGACTCTGCACTGATAGAAAGTTGGTAATCTGATCGCATACACTTGTTTCATTGGCATACTGAAACGAGGCCCATATTCTCTCCCAATTTATAAGACACGATTCTTACATCGCTGGTGCTCATGATAACAGGCTTCTGTGATAGTTTGAGGAGCAACAGGACACTGGAACAGGACCAGAAAAGCCGATTCAATCTCCCCACTCGCTTTGATGCACTGATAAGGCAAGTGTCTTTTGTCTTACGGATTCCATACTCTCAACGTTTTTCTTATCGCGAGCTTCTCGGAATCAGCCTACTGTAGCTCTCTGGGTCTTCCGATGCCACCAACCTGGCCCCTACTGGTATCTCATCCATCCTACTCTGAGGTCTTGGTAACCACACCCAAGCGATAGCCATCTTCAGCGTGGTACCCTATCCTCGGCAGAAAGCCCCGCCGTGTCCACGATCCACATCGGCCTTATAGATGACCCTGCTCATCCCTCCCGTGACGGTAGTCAGGCCTCGGTTTTTCGGCTATGAAATTGTCCTGACGGCGGAGACGGCTCTGCATGACCAATTTTTCACAATTTCTAACAGACCAAATTACGGAGCGACTTTCTAACATGATTATAACCAGTTATTGACCGGAATATTGAACATACATTGACTTTTCAACCGTACCCTACGAAGTTCCGTCTCGTTGACCACGAACTTTCTGCGGAAGACCCGAACTCAAACGTTGCACATGAGTTTTGGCATCTGTGAGGTGGCCGCGCTGAGCTTCTTCGATTCAAGGATGGTCATGTTACGGAGAGTGTTGTTTAGGAAGTCACGACGTCCGATGAACGTGCACATATCTGCAAGGCCCAGGAACTAGAGATTCATCAGTGCCTCACGACCCCATCGTGCCGCGCATCTCCCTCCCACATCAACTTCTCATGAGGTTCACAGTTCTTCTCGAGTCTGCGGAGATTCTCATGCATTGGGGCTGAACTGTTTTCGCCTAAAGTAGGGCATCTCAGCGGCAAAGCGAGCAACGCCTTTACGTTCACATTGGAAGTTTCAGCCTATAAAACACCTGCCTGCTACCATGGCTTTGCCTCATTCCCTTCCACAAACTGCATGATGTTTGCTTCTCGCTCCATCATGTTTGCGCTGCTCGGCCTTCTCGCTGGAGCCAATGCGTGTGTACAGTGCCCAGCCACATTGAATGTTGGCGGCAGTGCCAAGGAACTATTGACGAACGATATCTGGCGAGAACTCGAGTACACATTTTGCACGTGCGTCGCACCCAATATCCTCATTGAATAAATTAACTGATAGGCCGGCAGTTACGATGGCCGGAATAGTGACGGCTCGGCAACGTACTGCAATTATTACACTGTAAGTACTTTCTGGATATTGTTCCCCTCATTGTTCTCTGTTGACACGCTAGTGATGGCATCAGGAGAACGGCTTGCTTTGGGATGGGTATAAGTCTTGTCCGGGCAAAGCAACTGTGAAAAATAACTGCTGAACGTGATGTGAAGAGGTGGGGGAGACGAGACACCCAACAGGAGGCGCAATGTTCGTCCGCAGACAGCCGGGTGTATGCCAGCACTTAGATCACTATCTATTACGAGAAATCCCAAATGCTTAATCACATCTTACCTCGGCCAGCTGCATCATCTCAACCCCCTATTAAAATACCCTCACCACTTACTAGAATCGTCACAGAAGGGTGGCATGCCACGATGACACGACCCATTCCAGCTCGGAAACCAATTCGCCAGCTCCGATCAGTCATTTCTCACTGAACCTATAGAACGCCTATCAGTGACGCAACTCCAGATGGTGACTCGTAAGCATCCGCCTTCCAGTCCCACAGACGAAGCGACTTGTTGTCAGAGCTTATATTCTACATACTAAGATCGAGGCACGAGAACGTACGTCTAGAATTCGGACGTCTATACGGTGACTCAGTAAGTTTTGTAGCTCGTCTTTCTTGCTTCGTAGTATCGTACACTACTACCAGTAGTATTCGCAAGGTTTTTTTTGACTTGGCTTCTACTTCACACTCGTTCCGTGACCATGATCATCCGTCGTGTTTTCTGGCTCCAAAACAGTACCAATGGATAGACCGTCACCATACGTCGTCTGTCGGGCAAAACTGCTACAGGGCGTGTGGCGTCTGTAGTATGATCTTTGAACTCTCGATCGGGCGTGGTGCCGGGAATGGAATGAGCTTCGACATTTTACTGGAGGTTGAACACGGTCGAAGTGGGCTTGGATGGAGGGATTGTAAATGTCTTGCTCTAAGCTACAGAGGTGCGTGTAATGTGCGTTTTATGCTGCTTTACCGCACTCTTTTTTTCATAGACGCCCAGGACATCAGAGGTTGTCTGCTTCCACACCTCCATCAAGGCTGCAGCAAGAATGCTCCCTTCTATCATCCACGGCTTCCTCGAAAATGTAACCCTCGCTGTGCCTCTGCCCATGACTCCAACTTGTATCTCCACTGCATTCAAAACACGTCACCGCGCCTCAAATTGGTATACAGTGTAGCTGCCCCCCCGAATCTAGTTGCTAGTGCTCAAGGCCCGTCGAATGTCACAATCGCTATCTATCCTGCAGGGATACATGCACCATGAGCCATTTCTCATATGGAGCTGCTACTCCAGTGCATCACGAACAGTCACCTCTCGCGTACGTCGTTGCACATGTCTCACGAGACTGAGATTCATGTAGCTCATGATGCTATCACTCCAAATATCCATTCAACCCCCAAGGTGCGCGTATATAAAATGCACATTGAAGTCGAAAGGTCTCACCTCTCGCGTCCCAAACCGCTACTAGTTCTGCAACGGAGGACCTTCGACTTTCCAAGTCGCGTTTTATCTCACACTCTGTGGCGATATCTTTCTAGGGTACCACGACCTTCCTTCCGGCGTTCTGCTCATCGCACAATTCAGTCTTGACTTTTGGCAACTCCAGGAACTGGTTTCAGTCTTTCTCACCTGCTACCCCTCTGTCAAATCCGTCTCCATTGGAATTCTGCACCCATGCAAGTATTTAGCGGTGAAATCTGGTCATCACTTTTTCAAATTGGCGAGCTCTCACCATAGTCGAGGCCCTGCGGGCCCTGCGTCCAGTCGGTGCATGATTTCGGTCAATAAATCCTTGACCGCAGAGAGGTGACGGCCTCGGTGGGAGATTCACCACTATTTCCATCCCACGCGCTGGGCTCTCTGCTCCTTTCTATCAATTCCCTGTCTCCTTGTACCACAATTGCCGCACTCTCATGTCATGCCCCTTCATGGTCTTCAACACAATGCCGTTCTGAAAGTCCCGCAGACAAACCGCCTTGTCGTACGAGCCTGTGATCAAACATCGTCTATCGGGGAAGACTGCGACTGCGGTTATGGTATCCTCAATAACCTACAAACAGCCCGACCGGGTGTGGTGGCTAGAACGATGGGCTCAAATGCGTCATCAATTTTGGTGGAGCTCGATGGTGTTCCTATGCGTGAGGGCTTATTTTGGGTCAGACGGCTGTGGAATTTGACTCCGGGCAGTGGGGGTTCTCTCCGTACGAAGAGCGTGAGCGTGAAATTGACGGGGCCGTTGAGATTCTGAAATTCATACCCATCGTTCAGAGTTGCACTGGATTTTCTCTTCGTTCTTCCCCTTTCATGAAGATAGCTGAGGGAGCTTAGCAAAGCAGAAGTCTGGCGAGACTCTAGTATTCATGAAGATGACTGATGAACACACAGTACGACCATTAACATGAAATTTGCGCATCGATGTTTCTGTTTCTAGTACTACCCTCCAGATGAGTGCATTTCCCATCACCCAGCTGTACTCGTCGGGGCAACATCTACTATCCACTTTTTTCTGACATTCCTCTCACCTGTGACCTCACTTGACTTGGTGACTCGGGGTTTCATTGCCGGCGTCTCTGAACACATGTCGCTGACTGACAATCGTAAAACTATGTAAGTCAGGGCCCTCAGGAGATACTGGAGCAACCGCCAAACCCTGGTACATTTGATGGCATGTTTGCTGAATGTTTCTCGAGAAGCAGGTCCGATCTCCTCACACGCTATGATGCAGTGATAAAGAAAGTATTTGTCTGTCTTACGGATTCCATATTCTCGATGCTTTTCTTATCGCGAGCTTCTCGTAATCAGCCTGCTCTGGCGCTCCGATGCAACCCTCCTGGCATCCATGACATCCATCCTATGCCGAGGTCTTGGTAACCACACAAGCGATAGCCATATTCAGCCTGGTACCCCTTGCTGCCCCATATCCTCGGAAAAATCCCGGCACGTCCACAGTTGACATCGAGCTTATTTATGATCCTGCTCGTTCCTTCTGTGACGGCAAGCCAGCCCTCTATTTTGCAGCTATGAAGTTGTCCGTACGGCGCAGATGGCGGCCCTCATGACAACAATTTTTCACAATTTCCGCCAGATTACGGAGCGACTTTCTAACAGTGTTATAAATATCGATTCAAGGATGGTCATAATACGGAGAACGTCGTTCACAACGTCCGGTGAACGTGCACACATCTGACGAGAAATGCGAAGCCAAGGCCTCTCAGGAACCGGAGATTTATTCGTGCCCCACGACTCCATCGTGCCGCACATCAACTTCTCATGAGGTTCACAGTTCTTCTCGAGTCTGCGGAGATCATCATGCATTCTGGCTCAACCGTTTTCGCCTAAAGTAGGGCATCCGAGCAACACCTTTACGTTCACGCTGGAAGTCTCAGCCTATAAAACACCTGCCTGCTACTACTATGGCTTTGCCTCATTCCCTTCCACAAAATTCATCATGTTTACTTCCCGCTCTATCATGTTTGCGCTGCTCAGCTTCCTCGCTAGCGCCAATGCGTGCATAGATTGCCCAACCGCAATGAAGATCAACGGTAGTGTTGTGAAACTACAAGAGACTACCCCATACGGCACGCTCACACATTGCTTGTACGTCGCACCCACGCATCTTTATTGAAAAAAGTCACCGATAGGCTGGCAGTTACCTCGACAATGATACAGGAACGTCAGCATCCTGTATGTATTACACTGTAAGTGCTTTCTGGATATTTTGCAGCTTATTGTTGACATGCTAGCGCATTAGGCGAGTGGCAGCCTTCAAGTCGGGGTGCCGACTTGTCCGCATACAGTAGCTGTGAAGAATCACTGCTGAACGTGATGTGAAGAAGGTGGGGGAGACGAGATACCCAACAGGAGGAGCAGTGTTCGTTTGCAGACAGCCGGGTGTATGTCAGTACTTAGATCACCGTCTGTTACGAGAATTTCCAAATAGTCGCGTCCAATACCTTCAGTACTGCAACAAGGTCAGTACGGGTACCTCGAGGGAATTATCATCATTAGTTTCCAGCTTCCGGACTTACCCTCATGTTTGCTATGGCCAATTACTGCGCTGCGACGGCTCATGCGCGCCAACACTGTTGCCATTGCCCCGGATAATCTTTATAGTTGTGAGCAGACGAATTCCTGTCTGAGTTGAAAGCGTTAGAGGTGTGAGCAAAAGACAGGATCCCACTTACTTAGCAGTCGTAGACTTGGAGCAGGACTGAGATGTGCTCCTGTCGAGTCTGAACGTATGAGACGAGCCGGGGGAATTCGTGCCGCTGATAAGTCGATGTAGCTGACTCCTATACGAAGGGTGGTACTCTGCGCAAATGTAGGATTTCGTGGTTTGGGCCCTTGAAAGCGTGGATGTAAGGGTATTCGAAGGTTCCACAGTTTTTTTAGGATTACCTTTTAGATATGTTGGAATAGGATTGCGACTTGGAGGAGATGCTGGAGACATAAAGTTCACGGCGGGCAGATTCTGCCGCTCACTTTCAAATATGTATCTTTGGCGTGCGTTAAGAGGCGATGTAGCATGTGCTACATTTCGTGGCTTTAGACAGAAATTGTGTTCGACTTTTGCGACGCTTAGGACGTTCGTGTCGGACGTATTGTCATAACGTCAGATCACGCACGTCGTAAGCCTCGGTGACCGTTATGCAGACCAGATGGCAGGAAGACTCGAGGAAAACAGTAGTTAAAACGTTGACCGTGACGGTAAAACTCTTCCTACTAGGTGCCAAGGTATTCTCGCAGCCGCCCGACTGTAGATGTCGTGTTGTCGTGTTGTGACGCACGAGAGCGCAGTCTGGTTCTTAGCAATGCCAAGGGTATAAGCACTCTGATACCCTGCCACCATGAGATTGATCATTGCTACAGCCTGTTCACGAACATGAAGTGACTTACGACGGATCGCTTCGCTACAACCCTCCCATCGACAAGCTAGCAGTCATGCAAGTCATCGTCGCACAAGGAGGCACCGAGAGGCACCATAAGCTGAAAGGGCTAAGTATAGTGGTTACCATGGAGGGAGAGGGGACGGTGGTGTGGGCAGAGGGGGGCGAAGAGGCTGGGCATGAGGAAGGGGCAGGTGGTGGTGGTTGGTGCGGGGACTGAGGTGAAGTTTTCGGCGTTTGGGAGTGTGTTTAAGCTTTTTCGGGCGTTTGTGGAGGTTGCTTAGGCTTTGGGATGTTGGCGTGGGTTCGATTTGAATTTTTAGAGGTTCTATAGCTGGCATGAGTGATGTTGAAGGGTCGTCCCCGTTGAAGAGGTTGCATCTGTTGATGACCATCCTTCTGGCGTTGGGTATAATCTCAGTCATGACAGAATGATGGTCATGCAGTGTGATAGTCGGGGGTGTGAGAGAGCAGAAAGGACTGAAAATGACCACCTCAGAGGACAATGGCATTTTAAACACAAGGAACTCACCAGAGAAGGTACCCACGAAAGTAACCCATACACCCACCGTCTAATGCTGGTGTTTGGGTTTTAGCGGAAACGACTAATTTAATAGTTGGCGATTCACGTCATCGCCCACTATTACTATAGTTACTTATTGGGAAGGTCAGATGTCTTTCTTACGTGGAGCTGCTCACGCAGTCACTTCTCGCGTACGTCGTTAGCTCATGGTGCTATCACTCCAGACATCCCTTCGATTCTTAAGGTGCGTGTGCATAAGATGTACATTGCAGCTGAAAGGTCTCGCCTTTCGCGTCCCAACCCGCTAGTGGTAGTTCTACAACGGAGGACTTTCCACCTTCCAAGGCGCGTTTTTCACACAGTTTGTGGCCATATCTTTCGAGGGCACCTTCTCGTTGCACAATTCATTCCTCACCTTCGGCAACTCCAGGAACTTGTTTCGGTCTTTCTCATATGCTACCTCTCCCAAATTTGTTCCCATTATAATTTTGCATACGGGAAAGTACTGCTTAGCGGTGCAATACGGTCATCACTTTTTCAACCTTGGCGAGCTTTCACCGTAGTCAAAGCTATGCGAGCCCTCAGCCGTTCCCGCCGATGCAACGCCTACTACCAACTTTTATCATTTGTTTTTCTGACGTTCGTTTCACTTGACGCTCCACTTGACTTGGCGAGTTTCGTTGCCGTCGTCGGTAAATCCATGCCGCAGACTAACAATCGCCAAACTATATAAGTCAGGACGCTAAGGAGACACTGGAGCAACTCTTAAATACTGGTACATCTGATGGCAAGTTCGCTGAATGTTTCCTGAAAAGCCGGTCCAATCTCCCCACTCACTTTGATGCAGTTATCAGGCATGTGTTCTTTTGTCGTACGTATTCCATACTCTCAACGTTTTTCTTATCGCGAGGTTCTCGGAATAATCCTACTTTGGCTCTCTGAGTCTTCCGATGCAACCCTCCTGGCTCCTACTAGTATGTCTTCAAACCTATTCCGAGGTTTTGGTGACCACACCCAAGCGATAGCCTTCTTCAGCCTGCCGCCCATATCCTCGGCAGAAAGCCCCGGCACGTCCACGATCGACATCAGCCTTATAAATCATTCTACTCATACCTTTCGTGACGGTAGTCAGACCTCGACTTTGCAGGTGCGAAGTTGTCCGGACAGCGGAGACGGCCCCGTATGACCATAGTTTTCACAATTGCCAACAGTGTTATCTACATTTTATGAGGACAGAACGTTTGCTTCCGCGGACTCAAATCGTGTGATTCCCATGTGCGCGCTCCACTTGAGCTCCATATTTCCCTTACGTTTGGTGCCACTTTCGCAATCTAGATCGGGCCTCGGCGGACTTACAAGCTCCACTTACACTTCCACCCCTATCAAGCGGCGCATATCTCATTGACCAGTACAGTAATACCGAGACATGCTGGATTCTTCTCAGTTTTGGTACACTGTCGTCTGTATGAATACTTAGCACCACAAGGAGTACGCTGCCACACACTTCGGGCCTAAACTTCCTAGCTATTGAACGCTTCACAGTTCTTCTTGAGTCTGCTGAGATTCTCATGCATTTTGGCTCAACTGTTTTCGCCTAAAGTAGGGCATCTCAGCAACAAAGCGGGTTTCGCCTTTATGCTCACATAAGAAGTTTCAACCTATAAAACACCTGCCTGTTACTATGGCTTTGCCTCATTCTGTTCCACAAACTGCATGATGTTTACTTCCCGCTGCATCACCCTGGCGCTGCTCAGCTTCCTCGCTGGGGCCAATGCGTGTACACCTAAGTGCCCAGCAACAGTGAAGGTCTCCTATACTACGGCGAAATTAACCCAAACCATCCCACAAGATTACGGCGTAGAATGCGTGTGCGTACCCACACATCTTCATTGAACAAAGTAACTGATAAGCCGGCAGTTACAATTTGAGCGGCGTGTCCTGTGATTTTAACTCCGTAAGTGCTATCTAGATATTGTGCAGCTCATTGTTCTCTGTTGACATGCTAGCGATGGCATCAGGACGGCGGGCTTATAGATGGGGATCCAGCTTGTCCGAATAGTATACCTAGCTGCTGAACGTTTTGTGAAGAGGTGGGGGACACCAACAGGAGGAGCAATCGTCTGTAGACATTCGGGTGCACGCCAGTACTTAGACACTATCTATTGCGAGAATTGTTACATAGTCTTATCTTTCCTCGGCCAGTTGCATCTATCCCAATCCCCATTATAATCCCCCCCTCCTCGGGTGATGATAAGTGCTTACAATCATCCCGGAAATCAGCATATCAATATGTCATGGTAATCAATAAACCTCACCAGGACTGCCATGTGTGGGTCAACCTTGAAATTGTGTAGGCAATGGGCATTGTATAGAGACTAGAAGTCAGTGTCGATCCGGATTCCGGAGACACGTGATCCCTGACCTGTCCGGCCGGACTTTCGCCCTGAGCCTCGCCACTTGAGCGCTTGAGCACCCCGTTCAAAAGACTTTTTGTCCGACGTTCCTGTCTTGTTCCCCTCACCTGTGACCTCGCTTGACTTCAAGTTGGTGAGTTTCGTTTCCGGCCTCTATAAATCCATGCCGCTGACTGACAATCGTCAAACTAAGTCAAGAGACACTAGAGCGACTGTTAAACCCTGGTACTATTACATCTGATGAGATGTTCGCTGAATGTTTCCTGAAAGCCGGTCCAATCTCCCTACCCGCTTTGATCCAGTGACAAGGCAAGTGTTTTTCGGACTCCGTACTCTGAATGTTTTTTTGTCGCGAGCTTCTCAGAATCAGCCAGCTTCGACTCTCTGGGTCTTCTGATGCAACCCTCCTGGCCTCTACTAGTGTGTCATCCATTCTACTTCGAGGTCTTGGTAACAACAAAAGACACCAAAGACCAAAGCAATAGCCATCTTCAGCCTGGTGCATCTTGCCGCACCATATCCTCGGCAGAATGCCCCGGAACGTCCACAATCGACATCGGCCTTATATATGATCCTGCTCATGCCTTCCGTGACAGTAGCCAGGCCTCGTGTTTAGCCGCTATGAAATTATCCGGACGGCGGGGACGGCCTTGCATGTCCACAATCTTTCACAATTTTCAACAGTTTAATAACCGGAATATTTAAGAAGGATTACAAATATTGACTTGTCAACCGTACCCTGCGAAGTTCCTTGTTCACTACGAACCTTCTGCGGAAGATCAAAACCCAAACGTTGCTCAGGAGTTTGGGCATCCATGAGGCGAGCGTCATCGATTCAAGAATAGTCATATTACGGAGTGTGTTGTTTGGCAAGTCGCGATGTCCGATGAACGTGCACATATCTGACGAGCAGTGCGAAGCCAAGGCCTGGGAACCGGTGATTCATTCGTGCCCCACGACCCCATCGTACCGCACTAATCTCCCTTCGAGTACTTGCCACATCAGACGACGTTCACGGTTCATCTCGAGTTTGCGGAGGTTATCATGTATTCTGGCTCAACTATCTTTGCCCGAAGTAGGGTATCTGAGCAGCAAAGCGAGCCTCGCCTTTACGCTCACATTGGAAGTTTTAACCTACAAAACACCTGCCTGGTACTATGGCTTCGCCTCATTCCCTCCACAAGCTCCATCATGTTTGCGCTGCTCAGCTTCCTCGCTGGCGCCAATGCGTGTATACAGTGCTCAGCCACATTGAAGGTCGGCAACGGTGCCATGGTGAAACTATACGATACCATCCCACAACACCACCTCACAGTTTGCATGTGCGTCGCACTCACAAATCCTCATTGAGCAAAGCAACTGATAGGCCAGCAGTTACGATGACGAGAGTAGCGACGGAACAGTGTTCTGTCACTATCACACCGTAAGTGCTTTCTGGTTATTCATTGTTCTCGGTTGACATGCTAGCGATTGCATCAGGATAACGGCAAGTTTGTAGATGGATATGAGTCTTGTCCACATACAGCAACTGTGAAGGATCACTGCTCAACGTGATGTGAAGAGGTGGGAGAAACGAGACACCTAGCTGTTAGGAGAATTGTCAAATAGTCTTGTCTTGCAGTTGCATCATCCCGTCCCCCTATTAAAATGGGTGATGATCAGTATTTACAATCATCCCGCAAATCAGCCTATCAATGGCATGGTAAACAGTGCTGTTTTTGATACTCCTCTGAATCTCACAATACCTTATAGGCTTATACCTCACCATGTGGAATTAATGATGGACCCGAGAATCTTTGGACTGGGCTCGGGACACGTTCAAGTTGTTATGGAAAGCGAGCGATCAACTCAACGAGAGTGAAAGCCTCGCAACCACGTCACACCTTACTTTCAATGCCATCACCCATGCAACTGCGATGCCACTCCATCTTAATCCGTGCCTTCCTCGACAATATAGCCCTCGTGCTCCTCTCCCCATGGCTCCAGCGTGTATCCCCACAGCTTTCAAAATTCGTCACCTCGCTTCAAATTAGTATATGGTGCAGGCAGTCCCCCGGAATCTGTCTGCTAGTGCTTGAGGCCCGTCGAACGTCACGATCGCTATCTATCCTGCAGGGATACATGAATCATGTCCTGCTCCTCTTGCAAAGTGGTCGAGCTACTGCTCCAACACTTTACATTGTAACCTGTCCAAGTGGTCACATGACTCACATCGAGTACATCATTGCCCTGGTCACATTCTCATGAAACTGGAATGCATTTAGCCCGCGGTATCACTCTGGGCATCCATACAACTCCTGAGGTGCGCGTGCATCGGATGCACAATGCAGCCGAATGGTCTCGCGTCCCGCGCAAAGTGCTACCAATTCTGCAACCGAGGACTCTCCGGACTTTCCGCCTTTCAAGGCGCATTTTGTCCTGCGCTTTGTGGCGATACCTTTTTTTCCAGCGCTCTGCTTGTCGCTCGATTCAGTCCACAGTTTCGCTAACTCCTGGAACCATCTGTTACCAGCTCCATCGGGATTCTGCACCGTACAAGTAGCGGGTTCAATACGGTCGCTAATGATTTACATTCTACTAACCCTGGCGAGCTCTCACCGCAGCCGAAGCTATGCGAGCCCTGCGTTCAATTATTGACCGACTGTCACTACGATTGTTTTGCCACACGGGTCACAACTATGGTGGCCCGCGTTTTTGTTGTCAGTAGCACAACGAAAATGAAATCAGCTTGATGGTCTACTGGCGTTGACTTTTGAAGCCTGTTACTGACGAAAACTATTGCACAGAGTTTCAATGTAGGCTCCATGTCTACTTTTTCAAAGACAGTGGTAGCTCAAAGTGTTCCTCGAAAACGTCAGGAACCCCGTCTTTATCTCCCTTGTGTCACGGCAATCCTGCGATTCGGGATGTCCATCTACGCTTCAAGAGACCGTGAAACCTGAAGTACATTGGACAACCTAGCCACCGCATCTTTGTTGCAGTTGCGACACTGATGTTTCTAAGGTATTCATGTCCCAAAACTCAAACGTTGCGCATGAGTTTTGGCATTTATGGGGTGGCCATGATGAGCTTCGTCGATTCAAGGATGGTCATATTACGGAGAGCGTTGTTTAAGAAGTCACAACGTCCGATGGGTGTGCACATATGTATCTGACGAGCAACGCGAAGCCAGGACCTCCCAGGAACCGGGGATTCATTCGTTCTTCACGACCCCATCGTCATGACGTTCATAGTTCCCCCCGAGTCTGCGGAGATGATCACGCATTCTGGCTCAACTTTTCTCGCCTGACGTAGGGCATCTCAGTAGCAAGCTAGCAACGCCTTTATGTTCGCACTGGAAGTTTCAGCCTATAAAACACCTGCCTACCCCTATGGCTTTGCATTCCCTTCCACAAACTCCATCATGTTTACTTCACACTTCATCATCTTTGCGCTGCTCAGCTTCCTCGCTGGTGCCAATGCGTGTGTACAGTGCCCAGCCACAGTGAAGGTCGATGGTAGTGTCATGAACCTATACTATACCTACCCAGTAAAGCAGCTCACATTGTGCACGTGCGTCACACCCACACGTCTTCATTGAACAAAGTAACTGACAGGCCGGTAGTTACAATCTCCAGATTAGTTATGGGGGCGACTAGCGATGACTCAGTAATGTCCTGTAATTATTACACCGTAAGTGCTTTCTGGATATTGTGCCCCTCATTGTTCTCGGTTGACGTGCTAGCGATGGCATTAGGAAAACGTGAAGTTTCCAGATGGGCATGAGTCTTGTCCGCGTACAGCAACTATGAAGGATCACTGCCGAACGTGATGTGAAGAGGTGGGGGTGACGAGACACCCACCAGGAGGAGCAATGCGCATCTGCAGATCGTCGGGTGTATGCCAGTACTTAGACACCATCTGTTATGAGAATTGCCAAATAGTCTTTTCTTGCCTCTGCCAGTTGCATCATGCCAACCCTCTATTAGAATACTCCCCAGGTGATGACAAGTACTTACAATCATCCCGGACATCAGCCTATCGATGCCATGGTAAACTTTTTGATACTCCTCCTTCAAAATACCTCACCATCCCACAGCGCGGAATTCACGACGGATCCGATAATCTTACGACTGGGCTCGGGTTGTCACCCCACTCGACAGCTCTCCTTCGTTAGCTAAACGCTTCCGTCCTATGAGAAACTGGGAAGATTAAAAGCAAAAATCTATACCCTTCGTTCAGCATTAAAATCGATGACAGGATCAACGCACCTGCGACGGCATTCCGGAGAAAGGGATAAGTATTCGCAGGATCTGAAAGGGGAGCTACTGGCAGTGCCTCTCGAGTCCATGTGGGAGTGCCGCAGTCGTGCAAGTAGATAGGTTTGCGGGCCGCGGAGTTGCCTTTTGTGGACACCTTGCATAGTCATGGGTTGAAACTCTACCATTTGGACATCCTAGTGTAACATTCTGCCTGCTCACGCGTACAACGCGATGGCTTCAGGTAGCCCAGATGACTCTGGTCGGCAAGCTATCCTTCCATGGACACCAGGCGATGCGTCTGAGACTGCAACCGAAGCTCTCCAAGCATTGGACACTTACAAGAAGAAGGATCCATCCAAAGGTCAGCATCGGTTCGATCAGCGCGTCTATATCTGTAACACACCTAGTATGCAGTGGTGGTTCGCTTCAAGGCAGTCGGTAATGCACCGATTATGAGGCAGAACTTCTATAAGATTACTGCCTCCAACCGTTTCCAGGCAGTCATACAGTTTTTGAGGAAAGAGCTGAGCTGGAAAGCCGGGGATCCACTGGTTAGGATTGATAGCCTTTCTCTGTGGTCGAGCTAACCTCGTCCTAGTTCACATATATCAACCTCGCATTTTCTCCCGCTCCAGACGATACAGTGTCTAATTTGTACAAGGTAACGTGCCTAGCTCTTGTCAGGGAACGTCTCCTGATTGCTGTTGAAGTCGTTCGCTACGGAAGGACATCTGATAGTCAACTACAGGTTAGTTTCTCGATATTTGCGTGCATGATGCGTTGATACGACTGTATACTTCAGCACGACGGCTGCATGGGGGTAACGCTCTTGCCGATGAGCGATGTCTTGTATTTTCTTTTGTTTTGCGCACAATTGTGTCACCACCCAACCATACACTCGCCACGGTTTAATACGAATTCTTCGTTTCGCTACTTCTCTTCGAGGGCCATGCACCAATCTTATCGAAGATTAGAATGACATACATCGTCGACATGCACGATAAATACTCTATTTATACTTTCCCCCTGCACATGCTTATCATTGTGCGCTACCATACTGGATGACGAAATTCTTTCTAGGACTAGGCTTCAATGGAATTTCCTCGCCTGTGGCAACAATCCCGTTGACCATGGTATCCTCTTCCTCGTCATCAAAGGCCATATCTTCATGTGCCCAGCGCAAGAGCATAGTCTCACCAACGCGAAAGCGATTTGGCTTCAGGTATGACCTGACCAGTCCCCGCAATCGGGCATACAACAACCTTGTTGCAACGATCAGGATAGAACTTGCGTGGATTGTTCAGTTCTGTGAATGGTCGGTAGCATTGACACTCACCTAGTCACAAGTAGGATAGTTGTTGGTGACCACGAGTTGCGATCTGGTGGTGGAATAAACTTCTGTTCGCCATCTTGTTCGTCGGTAGGATTCTCATCTGGGCTGCTGTTACCCGACTTCTCATCATTACCTTCGTTTTCATTTCCTTCGTCACTGCCCGTATCGACGTTACGACCCGTGCGCCCGTCTCCTGAGTGTTCGTTGTCCGTCTCGCTTGCGTCGCTCTCTCCATTCTTGAAAATGGTGCTGTTCTTATCGGTGTCCACATTCCTTTTCCGTTTGGTTTTGCCCCCGAGCAGCCCTTCCTCTTGCAGGAGTTCATATCGTTTCGGACGACCGTTATCTGAAGCTACTATCTTCCAAGACTCCACAAGCTCTTGATCACATGCATGAAGTGACTCCCATGTCAAGCGGCGAGCACAACCACTGACATGCACGAAATCGAGTTCCTGCCAAGTACGTTCTGCGTATCGTCAACAACACGGACTGAAGACACTCACATCCGTGTGCGTTCTAGGCAGAAATACAAAGTTTATCACAAGACCCCCGACATCGGCTGAAAGGTGACCTTCAGGATCGCGAACACTTTCAGAATTAGTCACAAATCTACTCACGAGATCGAATATTATGATCAATGACTATGAGTCGCCCGGCGTCCGACGTAAGATCATGGCTGGGCCTTCGGCCAGCAATCGGAGTATCAGACATCGTCTGCAGGCGTTCTGCATTGGCTGGGAATTTCTCGTCTTCGAGAAACAAACTCGTACTCGACACTAAGACATATTAGATGAACACCGCACTTACTCTTCCCCTGCGAAGTTTATGAGTAATGCACATCGACTTTGTGCACATGATAAGCACCCTCACCAAGTGCTCGCCGAGATCAATGCTATTGCTATAAGGCGAGGTCAAAGTAGCTTCATCTTCCACGACTTTCGCTAGATCGTGCACGAGTGTGCACAGGTCATGCTGAATCGTGCTCAAATCGAAGTTGCATATCGCGGGAAGCGACTCGACTTGGGACAGCTCCGAGAGTTGCATAGCAGGAGCCGCTGAGACCCAAGGTGTAAAAACGAGCGATATCAAGGCCCTGCGAGCGCGAGAGATCATAGTGGAAGCTCAACCTGTCACACCTTCCTAAGTGCATTCTTCGATGCTGCATCTTATGGGTGTCAAGAATATTAATAGCTCCAGAGTCCACGAGCCACATACTTACTAGTAGTATCAGAACTTCTCTAAGCGGGTCCGAAGCGGGCGCCGCGAGTCTCCCTTATCTAGTATCGTGGGCGGAACTGTTGGGGGCGTTTTGTTGGCAGATTCAGGAGAGCTACTAGTAGTAGAATCTGGCAGGTCTTGCCCGGATAGCGGTAACCAACACCCAACGTTACGTAATGACACAAAACTTTCACGATTGCCGTTCAAGAAATTCTATTCTTGTTCCGCTTCGAATCAAGCTTGCTCAAGCTTCAAGCACAATAGAATTCACCAATCAAAATATCTTCCGGGATAGCAAGTAGGTCTTTGATTATATACACTACCTTGCATCTTTACAGCTGTGTGCGAAATTAATGACATTTTTGGGCGCGCGTGACAAAAAAGGAAATCTCCCTGTAAACCATTCGAACGACGTTTGACGCCAGCAGATATCGAAAATGACGAACTTTTACCTTGTTCCATCGCCTATACGACATGCTTAACAGAAGAATAAGCAAAGATATGAAAGAATGTGCACTTAGCCTCTGGGATCAGGGTTAGAGCTCAAGGATATCTGTGAGGTGCTCGGTGTTTCTCGGGCCAGCTGGCGAAAGATCTCTGAAGAACTCGGCACTACTGTAGAGTTACGACCGTAACTTCGTCACGCGTCCCACCCCACAGCGAATCGAACCTATTTGATGTGACGGTCACACTAAATTTTGGGGAGCGAAGCTATTTTGTGACAAGCGGTAAAACAGGAAAAATCGCCAACAAAATCGCTACAGACTAGTTAGCACTAACTTAGCAGTGCGACCAAAAATCCTTATATAGGGTATTGGCTATGCATCTGCGCTGTCCTCTCCCTCACCTGT